CTGTCTTGCCTGCTGCCATGTAAAACGTGCCTACTTCACCCTCTGCCATGATTGTAAGTTTCCTGAGGCCTCCCCAGCCATGCGGAACTTTGACTCAATTAAACGTCTTTTCTTTATAAATTACCCAGTCTTGGGTATTTTATAATACTTTTAAATACAGTCTTGTATTTAAAATACTGTATTTTAAGTACAGTCTTGGTGTGAAAATGGACTAATACATTCAGAAACCATTATCTGTTATTCTTTAATGGCAATCTCTGAATGCTTGTAATTTCCTTCTTTTCCAAAGAATTACTGTAGACCCAAATTTTCATCATTGGAGTATAGCACATTCAGAAAGTACACCAATTGCAAGTATACAGTACAAAATTATGATCAGCTATGAACATGTACAAATAACCCCCATTAGGACAAGAAATAGAACATGAATAGCAACCCTGAAGCCCCTACCTGTCCCTCCCAGTCATTACCCCGTCTCTCCTCTCAAAAAGTAATCATGATGGATTAAAAAAAAAAAAAAAAGGTCAACTTTTGTTTTTTCAACTCAATGTAATTTATTGGGCAACTATTATATACCTGGTACTGAAGATACAGGCAGTGAACAGAGTAAATATGGCCCCTGCCTGTGGAGCTCACTGATGGGAAAGACAACTGTACATCAGTCTTTGAAAGTGTTTATTGTGCTGAGTCAATGGATTCAGAGGGACGGGGGCTCTGAAAAATAGTTACTGCTTCTTTAGGAGTTTACTTAAAGAGATACAATTAGGAGAAAGGGTAAAAACAAATATATGGATCAGTAAAGAGCTATGATATCAAATGTCAACTTAGGGGATTTTATTTTATTCTTACTGTTTTAGGGACAGGGTCTTGACCTGTTGCCTAGGCTGGAGTGCAGTGACACGATCATGGCTCATTGTAGCCTCAGCCTCCCAGGCTCAGGTGATCCTCCCACCTCAGCCTCCCAAGTAGCTGGGAGAAAAGGCTTGCACCACCACACATGGCTAATTTTTGTATTTTTTGTAGAGATGGGGTTTTGCCATGTTGCCCTGACTGGTCTCAAACTCCTGGGCTCAAGTGATCCTCCCACCTCGGCCTCCCAAAGTGCTGGGGTTATAGGTGTAAGCCACTCACCCAACCTATTACAAATACTTTGAATGAAAGCAAGGAAATATTGGTAGGTGAATTATACTTGTGTACTAAAATAAAATTTTTAAAATTATCCAGTAGGGACTTGAATGATTATTTTCACATATGGCCCAAGGAATCTCATACAAATTCTACTTTGGAAAGGAAGGGATGGCAATATTAATTTCAAAGTGCAATTTAAGGAAAAAGTACTAAATAACCCTACAAAGGTTGTTTACAGATGCTGTCAATTTGAGAAAATGTATGTCTTCTGAAGAGCATTTGTAAATTCCATGTGTCCACGGTGGACCCCAATATGAGAAATGCTGATTCAAATGATTTATCTGTCTGTTTATCTAAATGGTCACGGTTCTTTTTTTTTTTTTCCCCCAAGACGGAGTTTACTCTTGCTGCCCAGGCTGGAGTGCGATGCCGCGATCTCGGCTCACTGCAACCTCCACCTCCCAGGTTCAAGCAATTCTGCCTCAGCCTCCCAAGTAGCTGGGATTACAGGCATGCACCACCACGCCTGGCTAATTTTGTATTTTTGGTAGAGATGGGGTTTCTCCATGTTGAGGCTGGTCTCGAACTCCTGACCTCAGGTGATCCGCACACCTTGGCCTCCCAAAGTGCTGGGATTACAGGCATGAGCCACCGCGCCTGGCCTAAATGGTCACAGTTCTTTACTCTTTTCATATATCGGTGCTGTTTGCAATGTGACTTTGTATCTCCTCTTATTAAGAGGTGGAGTCTTTGAATCTGGGCTGGCTTTGTGATTTCCTTGGCCAACAGAAAGTAGCAGAAGTGACAGCTTTCCAGTTTTCAGTCTAGGCCTCAGAGGTCTTGTTTGCTTCCTCTTTTTTTCCTGGGCCTTTGCTTCTGCCATGTCAACAAGCCCAAGCTAACCTGCTGGAGGACTAGAGACCACATGGAAGAGAGCAATGAATCATCCACTGACAGCCAGCCAACTCCTAAACATGTGAGTGAGCCCAGCCTACATCAACAGAGCTGCCTACCCTATGAAAAACTGACTATAGAAGCATGAATGAGCCCAGTTGAGATGAGAAAACCCACTATAAACTGACTTACAGAGTCATGAACAATAGTAACTGCTTATTGTTTAAGCCATTGAGATTTGAAGTAGTTTGTTACACAGTAATAGGTGTGATAAATATTAAAAACTTTGTACCCTACAGAAAATACCTGTCCTTTTTAAATGGCTGTAAAAATTTATGA